CCAACCCTAGGTCAAACAAAAATGATCTAGAACAACTATTGTACGTGTGTATAAGTATTTAATGAGTTATCCATTCAAATTTATGATCAGGTGTTTCTTTATAGGATTTTTAATATCATTTCAAATGAAATGAGTTTTAACTCTTAGGTATATTTTGATGAATTTCCACAAATGAATTAATTAAACTTTTCTTTCTGATTTGCTTTTGATAAGCAGCTGCGTTCATGTCGAAGTATTGGCCGGAATTTTGGTTCGCAAAAGTGCTCACAAGCGATATGCGCCAACATCAAGCTCGCTCGATGATTAGAAATAGTGAAATTGAATATCTGAGGACACTCTTAAGTGAAAGAGAAGATAATGTTGTGGAAAGAGACAAAACATTTGCCAGTCTAAAGAACCTCATAAGAAAAAAACCAAAAAATGATCTGAAAGTGAGGGAGCCTGTGACATTGAAAATGTTGGTGGTAGATAATGAAGGGATGGCAGCGGAGATAGAAGTAACATTGAAGTAACATTTGATGGTAGGCTCACAACAATGCCTATGTTATAAGTACAGGTTGGATGGAAGTAGTCAAATCATTCAATTTGAAAGCTAATCAGAACAAAGTTGTCCTCGCAATTATGTATAAGAAAGGAAAGATCTGATTGATTGCTCACATTTAGGATGTTGATCGTTATAAAATTGACTCACATCTCAAATGAGCAAAAAATAAAATAAAAATAATGAAGTGCATACAAATGGAAAGTGAGCTAGAGAAACAAATGGATTCTGTGTAATTGTTCACTCTGGTTGGGTTTTTAATGTGACATTTTCTGACGTGTTTCTATTGGATTTTAATCCGCTTATTCATTACTTTCTTTTAAAGTGTTCTTTTTTTTGGGTAAGTTAGTGGGGATTTAGGCTGTATCCATATTTCCTAGCATTCATTGATAGAAAGTCAACTATTATTGAGATAGACCATTCTCATGAACCCGATTATTCATTACTTTCTTTCTTAGTGAATATATGCAAATATTAGTCCAATGTTAGTGACTATATGAAAATATTAATCCAATGTTTATATTGATAAGTTGCATTGGAAGATGTAAATCTTTTGGATAATTTCTTTGAAATTTTGTTTACATTAAGGTTTGATGCAAATATTAATCCAATGTTTATATTGATAAGTTGCATTGGAAGATGTAAATCTTTTGGATAATTTCTTTGAAATTTTGTTTACCTTAAGGTTTGAAAATTTGGTAGTGAATATATGCAAACATTAATCCAATGTTAGTGAATATATGCAAATATTAATCCAATGTTTATATTGATAAGTTGCATTGGAAGATGTAAATCTTTTGGATAATTTCTTTGAAATTTTGTTTACCTTAAGGTTTGAAAATTTGGTAGTCCGGATCAGAATAGAATATGGATTGGGAATCATTGATGGGGATATGAATCCCTCAATATATCGGGATCTAGAGGACTCCTTCAGAATCGTTGATTGAGATATGCATCCCTCAATATATTGGGATCTAGAGGACTCCCCCCTTAAACCAACTAGCTCTGGGAATCGTTGATGGGGATACGAATCCCTCAATATATCGGGAACTAAAAGACTCCCCCCTTTAAACCAACTAGCTCTCAACTCTATGAGAGGAACAACTATTCGTGCACTTTTCTCAATCTTGTGTGAATCCCAATGCCATGTGAGCACAACTCACCATCTCACACATGTGATTATGAACACTACTCATTGCTAATCCTTTTATAAGCCACTTTTCTTCTTTGTATCCCTGATGTGGTTCTGTTATTCTTCTTAGCATTTACAATGTGCATTATTGCGGTTCTTAATTCTTGCTTCGTTACATAACACACACTCTCTCTCACACCAAACCTTGGCGTCTCTCTCTCCACAACCTCTACATGGGTGCCAAAGGAGGCTGAACTTGGAAATTCAAGGAACATATCTCAAACAAGAATTAACAACGTATCCATGCCACTAATATCAAGTTGATTGGCACAAAATAAGACATAAGTAAAATGTCAGACTTACTTCCAGCCAAAAGGAAAGAGGTAATGCTATTTGTGTTATATATTTCTACATCTCTATTGAAGCTAGAGTTTCCACCTAGGTTTGCAATCACATTAAAGGATTTTCTAAGGTTTTGCATAAACTTATAAATTTGTCCAATGCTCCCATAGAAATCTTGGGTAACACAAATGTCCATTGCAAGGTTCATTTTCTCCGTAGACATGTTTCCAAAGTTAAAAAAATCTTTGAAGGCATTACATAATTGTGATTCCCATTTTTCTTACATTTCCATTTCTTATATGCATGCTTTCTTGATATTATTCCCTTAGTAAAATTTTGCCTCTATTTATTAAAAAATAAATAAATTTGGCCTCTCCATGCTTCAAAATGTCACAATAAGCTCTCTTTCAAACAAGAAATTACACTTCTTGAGATAATATTCATAATGAAAACTATAAATGAAGCATATTTTACATGTTGAAGGATATGCAAATCATAAAAGTGAAAGAGGAAGAACATGATGGCATTAGAAATAAATCAAGTAGCTTACACGCTAAATGAGGCCATATTTCATTGGCTGAGAACCGTCTTTAATATCAACTAAGAAACGTTGGAAATAAATAATTATTGATATATATGAGGGTATAAATATCTTTTATTGTTGTTTAGGATGTATATGTCCTATTTCATTCTTCATGGGCATTATTGAAATTTCGTATACTTTATTAATATAAAAGGAGGTGCATGATGCTCATTCTAGATCATCACGACACACTCTCTCTCTCCTTTTCCTTCTTCCTGCTCTTTCCCTCTCTTACTACTCTTTAATAACTTCATTTTACTTTTCTCTTCTTCTCTTTTTTGATTGATTTGCCCTTGTTTACTTCCAACTTGGTATCAGAGCATCGAAGAAAAGACAAAAGCATCGAACAAAAGGTGTGTGGAGATATGATTTATGGCTGATGTCATTTGTATGGTTAGATGAAATCATCATGTCCTAAAACCCCAGTTTTTTCCAACAATAATTGGGTTGATCAAGGAGACTTCTTTTGGTGATTTCTTGATGTAGATCATGTGTTTGATAGAAAACTGATTAGTTCCGAGGGTGTAACCAAATCTCAACCGTAGTAGAAGATGTCTTAGCAAATATCAAATATGGAGCAATTTGGATTCCAAATTACCAAAATTAAATTTGATGGCACAAATTATTTGGAGTGGGCCAGGTGAGTTAGATTATTTCTTAGTAGAAGGAAAAAGTTGGGATAGATTGAAGGTCGAGTAGAAAAACCAGATCTCAAGGATCCTAAATATGCAGACAGGGGAAGTCAATGATGTGGTAATTATGAATTGATCATTGTATTCCATACAACCTAATTTGAGTCAAACTCTTATGAATTACAATGCCTTTAAGGAAATATCTGATGTCGTTTCTAAGACTTATTCCCAAAAGAAAATTTTTGCAAAGATCTATAAGCTGGGGCAACAAATCAATAGTTTCAAACAAAGGGACTTGTCAATGGAAGTTATTATGCTTGTCTTCGTGTTTTTTCGGATAAATGAGCCATTATCAACTTATACAATGCTCATCTTGTCTTGTGCAAAAAGCAAAGAAAGATTTTTTATCTTCCGAGAGGAGTTAATGGAGAATATGAATCACTTAGGCAAAATGCTCTGAGTGGTGAGACTTTACCACTTGGTTGAATATGTTTTGTCCATATACTTGGTCCACAGAGGGACAAGCTTGATGGCAAAGTTGTCTAATATGTTTTCCTTGGATATCCATATCATAAAAAGGATTCAAGTGTTATGATGTTATTAACAAGGTCAGTTATGCTTCCATAAATGTTACTTTCTTTGAATATGTTATGTACTTCTCATCTATTGGTCATGAATGCTCTCTTTAGGGAGAGGAAAGAACAAGATACATTTTAGTGAAGAGAGCACATATGTGGTTCCCTTTGTTGTTCCCTCACCACATTTATTTGAAGAGAATAGTGTATCTCAAAAGAATGTTGTACACCATGAGAAGGAGTTGAAGACGTATATCAGGAGAAAGAAGATGGTACAACCCAAAGGTCACCATGATTATACCCCGAATGCTAACCCAGAATCAGGAATCCTCTGAGAATCCTAATGTGGACTAACCCATTGTTGTACGCAAGGGTAAGCGTTCTTGTGCTCAACATCCTATAGGGAACTTTATATCATATAAATCCATGTCTTCTTCTATTTAAACACTTTCCTATGTTCCAAAGGTCGTTTCACATCCTCAATTGAAAGCTGATATGAGTGATGAGATGCGAGCGCTTGAGCAAAAATGCATATGAAATCACCAACCATCCTAAAAGGAAGAAGGTCATAGGATGTCGGTGCATATACACTGTGAAGTGCAAGGCTGATGGCACAATTGAAAGGTATAAGGCTAGATTGGTTGCAAAGGGTTTCACTCAAACTCCTAGCATAAACTACCAAGAAATGTTTGCTCCAATGGCTAAGCTGAACATTGTGAGAATCATTCTTTCTCTTCCTGCTAATAAATCTTGGCCTCTCCACCCGCTAGATGTAAAGAATGCTTTCTTGCATGGAGACATCCAATAGGAAATCTATATGGCCATAGCTCCAAGTTTTTAGATTATTTTTAGATCAAGGGGAGACAAAAAAGGTGTGAAACTAAAGGAGACTTATAGATTTAAACAGTCACTTAGAGCATAGTTTGAAAATTCAGTAATGTGTTGCTGAAATTTAGAAGAAGTTAGACAGATCAAAAGCTCTTTGTAAAGAAAAATAGTGTTGGGATTACAACCCTTATTATGCATGTCGATGATATTGTTGTGATAGAGAACAATGTGAAGGAGATTGATGATCTTAAATCATATCTAAGCAAGGTGTTTGCTATCAAAGATTTCGAGGCATTTGTTGTTCAGAAAAGCACCTCAATGGGCTCCATTCACATGGAGAGCTGAGAAACACAAATGGTTTAATGGTTTAAGGAATTGCAATGACATTGACAACTTCATAATGCTCAGAGAGATGCCTCATTTCCATGTTACGACAATTCAGAAGCCCTCCAAAGAACTTTAGACAAAAACACAAAAAAAAGTTACAATTGTGAAGATCAACAGATTCAACCACTAGAAGTGAGAAAGTGTTTGCTTGATCTATGAAAATAAAAGAACAACAGAGCATGGACCTACAACAAGACTTGTAGGACACAAAAAAGACCAACTCAAAATATGTATGGTGTAGAATATTTAATCTACAAATATATCATGCCAACTTTCTACTTTCTATAAAACATACCTGTGTTTGAAACATCCTTGTTGTGTTAGAGCTCATCAGCTTTGATTTGATTGCCCCTTGTATGTTTTCAACGATCTTTTCGTGATTCAAAAGGCTCACGTACATACACAATATTCACGAGGTTCAAGCTTGATATTTTCTTTAGGGTAGGGAACTACAGAGATCCTCATAAAATGATTACGAGTAAAAACTTCATATTTATGCAATGGAAAAGAAAGTCCTAATAGTGCTTTCTAACCTTACAGTCCTACTCAAGGAATTGAATGTTCTTAGATTATATCCATTTTGTCGGCAACCATCGTAGCTCCTGTTTGGGAGAATGTACATTCACATCTACGTGCTCAAATGGCAATATGATTGACATATAGATGAACGATTTTGATGCTTTGGGCAAGGTTGCAGCATAGATGATGTCGATAGCTCGCTTTAAAGCTGTGCATTCAACTAATCTACTTGTGGTGAAAAGAACAATTAGAGGCAACAAATGAAAAACGAAATAAACTGTGAGTATGAATCAAAACATCACAATATTTCCTTGCCCCTAGCAGCAGTGATAAGTAGAAAATACATAAAATGCCAGATGATAGTAGTGATGCTTAATAGAGAACAAAAACAAGAAAGAAAATGAAGTAAGATTTCTCAATCACAAGAATAACAAAATTTGCAAAAAATACACAATGTCAAATGCTAATATTCAAGAATAAAAAATTTGTAAAAATATTATCCAAACCCAGTGCATAAGTAATGTTATTTATTAAATATGAGAATCCAGCAATAAGTAATACTCGATGTAGCACGACAATTCCAATAGAAGTTCCATAAAGAAACATTTGAGCACCCTTTTTTCTATGCATACTCAACCATATTATATAATTGCATCAAGTGAGCAACCAGACTAGCAAATATTAACAAGAAATGAAAGGTGGGTTCACCGGATGAAATTTTAACAAAGATGGTCCTTGTCAGGAGAAACATCATAAATTCAAAATATAAAAGTACAAATATTGTAGATATGAGATAACTGAGACTGTTCTGGTTTGTATAAACGTGGAAAAAAATGATTACCCACATTTATATCAGCATGTAAAAATGCATCCAAGCAACAAACACATGATAATTAATAAAAAAAAGTTCTGCAATCTAAGGAAGATAAACCTGCAGATAGTTAGAAGCAATTGAAAACCCTATAATGATCATGAAGTGAAAAGAACCCAAATCATTGTATGTAACAGAAATAAGGCAAGTAGTGTCAATGTATCATAAACAAATTAATTTAAAGAGAAACGGCCAATGAAGCTGATACACAGCTCACTTTTGGGGATTCACTTTATAAGTTGCCTCACTATAGATTATTATGGTCGACTATCTGATAGAAGAACTAAACCTCACTTTGGCAAGCAAGAGACACAAATAAGGCATCCAGCTACATGATGATGCAGTCCTACTATCTTCCTAAGAACTTGTATCCCCTGCATCACTACCTCCAAATTTTGGAGAAATGCCATGCTCCACCCGACACTACATGACTACAAACCTGACCATGTTAAGGCAGAGGGCATTATTGTACAAAGAGATTCAGGTTCCCACTCAACCCAATCGCTAGACCTTGGTAGCTTGCCAGGTTGAGATGGTTCCGAACTAGGGGACTAGCCCTCTAGTTCAGAAACGAGTGGGTCCCTGTAAGAACCCGGCTGCTTCCTGGCCAGACTCGGGCGAGTCCACGGTCATAGCTGAGTCAACAAAGATTCGTTGGGTTCAGCTGATTATTCTTTCCTTTTGGTTAGACAAACAATAACTAAGCATTTTTTAGCCAACAAGGGGTATTAAGCCCCTAAATACAACCCCAGGGCTGCATTTGAGCCCTCTATCACAAGTCTTTACCCAGATTGTGCGAGAAATCAAACAAATTTCTTAGACTTGGAAGAAAGCTAAATCCACAGAGTTCAAATCAATGTATAGAAGATCCGGCTGAGGAGTTGTTGGTGGAAGTGGAGGCACCACTTCTCAATGAGAGGTTGGTAGTAGAGTCAAGGCCCATCCAATAGGAAGATCGAAGTGAAGAGGCACAAGTTAAGAGGAGGTGCACAAGATGAGAAGTATGGGGAAGATGGACGAGGAGATGATGATGATAAGACCACTAAACCATAAGATGGTGACAGAGGGAGCACAAGCGGCAAGGTGAGCAGAAGCACAAGGGTTAGACAAGCCTTGGCGTTCTGAGCATTGGAGTCCTTCCAGAATTATTATCGAGATAGTCTGCGTGACCGTGACCAAGATGCATATGAACCTTCTAGTCATTCATATTGAGTGTAGATCGGGTCCTGCATGTATCTTTGTAACTTGGATTGCTCCTATGAATATCATTAGTGTTATATACTCCAATTTGGACTATTAAATGTGTTCCTGAAACTCTCGCAGTTTAAACCCTCAGTATCTATAAGCTTCCTAAATTTTCCTAGTATGTACATACAATTTTTCTATTATTTTTTTATTTTTCTCGAATTTTACATTTTTCTTAATTTTCCTATGATTTTTTAGAATTTTTTCAGACCATTTTTTATCGACCAAGCACACTCACCTAGCCAACCAGGCCAGGCACTAATTCCATACACAGCTCCAGGTCTAAAAAACACATTATATTTTACTACTTCAGTTATACCTTAATTCTATTTGTATTAGAACTACTTTTCAAGGATACAGTACGACTATTCTCCTTTCTTTTGCTCCTATAGCCTCAAAAGTGTCTCATTAGTAATGTGATCAGTCTATCCTATTTGAAGTTTTCTATGTTGGTTCAGTAGGGTTGCAGTTTTGCACAAAGGTTGTTTATACAAACAGTAATGAGAGAAGGTCCATGAAGAGAAGACCACTTTGGGGTATTCTCTCTATAACAACACCAGATTAGGGTGGAGTAGATGTTATGAATAGAAGGAGATAGCATCATCAAGAGATGAAGACAATGTCATGCACTCAACCAAGATGTGTCCCAAGTATGCAATGAACAGGACAAATTTGTAAACATTTAGCGTCATTGGTCCATACATTATCAATCCTGAGTTAATTAAGCCCATTAAATGAGAGCATAGCTAGAAATGAAATGAAATTACATCAATACAGATCCAGGTTCTCATGTAGAATAAATAGGATAATGCTTGAAAATAAAAACTAGAATAAATGCAAACAAATCAAACTTCAGGAGGTTAAATCCAATCAAAACTATTATATTCATATTAGTCAAAGAGTACATATAGTGTACTCCAGCAAGAGTGTACCTCCATGGGAGCACACCACACACTTACTCCCTCGGGCAAAAGTCCTAGACTTTTTTATCTAAAATATTGAGATCCGCTGTAGAATCACTCAATAAGTATTAAAAAAGTGGAGTTTTTAGTTCCTAAATGCTTAGATTCGACTGTCAAATATTGGATGTTCTCTATTTAATCATAGGACGTGTGTTTTTCCAGACACATATGGAGTGCTTGCAAATTTTCTTCTTTACTTATATAACATCCCTAAAGTTTGGGGTCTCACAAATACTCCTACATAGGGTTTTCACTGGAGGAGTGAATGAACAGTTAACAACATGCTGCCACTAGAGCTCATAATATTTTAGCTTAATCAAATACAAGACTACTAAAGTTGGGACAATAGGAATTATATCGTGTATTGGCATTACGATTCACAACAAAGCTTAATTAATTCCTTTCTGCAACCCATATTGACCATAAAACAAAGGCGCAGCACACCATGTTGATAGTACTCCATAGGGTCATCCACCAACATTCTAGATGACAAATGGTAGAGATTAAATGCACAGCGGTGAATGTCGTAGTGGACCCCAATACAATTCATATTCATTGTCCGCCATCAGTAATGGATAGTGCACTCCCTTTGGATCACTAGATGTCGTAGTCCATTATGGTTTACTTTCCCTAGCACAAAAAAATGACGAAAGCAAATGATAATGACCGTTCGTGTTAACAATAAAAGCAAGACTATCAAGACACAACATACCATTTATGTATAGAACCATGGTTGTCTTCTTTGCAATGTAGTTGGCATTGGAGATAAAGCCATTCATCTTAAATATATACCTAGAAGGATCATCGTCAGAAGCAGTGATTTCCATTAGATCACAAGCAACTGTAAGTCCACAGACTGATCTGATGGCTTCTAGCCTTGAACATGAGCCTGAAGGATGAACATCTGCTCTGTTCATACCATGCTGTCTCAATTACAGAACTGAGAGTCATTCATGCTTATTTTTTGACTAATGGGAAAATACAAAATCCTAAAACTAGCATCAATGATTGAGGCCAACCTTTCTGCAAGAGAAGCTCACATCCACATTATGAATTGCAAAACGACTAATCAAATCTACTATCTTTGTATAATCATCATTAGAACTCTGCAGAGTTTTCCTTCGAGCAGTCATATTATAGAATAAGTTTTCAACCTGGAAATGAGAAAATTGTGAGCTGCATTGGAACTGCTTTGAATGAAAGAAAAAAGATACAGTGCATGAAAACACCATCCAAGAAATACAGTGCAAGGGCCACAAATGGATTGAATATAAGAAATATTTACTGGTAAGAGGCAGAGCAGTAGAAACAAAATTCATGTGTATCATAAAAGACTATCCAAAAACATAGTGGAATTCATCACTACCATTATCTGTGTTCCTTTCACTGTTGCACATGGCCGAGGTTCATATTCCATCACTCCATCTCGATATGAGACCCTGAATAAAAGACGAATTAAGAGAATATCATTCCCAACGAGGATCATAAACACTATCATCTAACCAGCAAACACAAATATTCATGAAAGAAAGAAATTGCACCTGTACCCATGCATATGGCCTTCAGTAATTGTGGTTACAGTAACATGGCCAACAAAGGTCATGCTGGCCAATGCCTCTCCTTTGAAACCCATAGATTTTATACTTTGGAGATCTTCATAAGCCGATAGTTTTGATGTGGTATGCCGTTCACAAAGTATTGGCAGATCTTCAAACTGTAATAGTAACATAGAGTATATAAGAAAAGCCAAATTTCATTGCCGTTTGGTGAGAGTTACAAAAGTTACAATTACGATGTTTAGAGGAAGTTATATCAAGGAAAGAAAGATAAATAGAATAACTAAAGGTAAAATTACAAGACACATTTACCTTGAAAAAGGGAAAACGAAAATCATATAAATGAAAAAACACAACACCAACCAAGTAGGGGAAACAGTGAGCAGACATATCAACTTTTTAATCATTATGGGTGGTAACAAAGCTTCTTGAAAACTAAAAAAGTGAATAACTAGAAGGGGCACTCAAAAATAAAGATGTCACACAAAAACTACAATGACATTGCATCCTAAAGATCCCAAACCTTCGGTTTGAAAGGGATCCAGTAACTGGATGCAATCATCAACATCATAACCAGTGAATTGTGATCCTTCAGATCCCTAAAAAGATATATCTTCTTTGCCATGTTTCAAGGTAATTTTAGAAAAGTGTACTTGCCTATTTCTAGCAAACTCCATGGAGACCTCCTATTTTTATATGTTCCTCACCATTAAAGAACTATCGAACTTGGTTTCTAATATTTTACAAACTTATGCTTCAAGGAAAGAACAGAAAGGTATGATTCAAAATGAATACATACAAAGGAACTTAGAGGTGGCTCCAATAAGCAATAAGATAAAGAAAGTAGACTTAGGTGGGCTGGTCATATAGAGCATAGACCTAATACAACACCGGTTAGAACGGGCAAATTGGTTTAGAGTCGAAGACTCTAAAAGAGAAAAAGATGAAAGTAGTGAGAAGAGATATGGTGACTTTTGGTCTTGCTAAGGACATGACCCTTGATATAGCAGAATGGAGGAACAAGATTCATATAGCCGACTCCAAATAGTTGGGATGATGATGATAATGATGCTTCAAGGAAAAGCAGAAATACAGAAAGTAATGGAATAGTTTCAGCAATTTATGGCATGTTAGAGCGCATTTCTAGCACAAAGGTGGTCTTTCAGAATCTGGTTGAAGTGAAATTGCAGCACAAAAATGGTCATTTAGAACAAGTCATGCACAAATTCCTTATATTTACTCATAAAATCGATTATAATCAAGAGATTTTGCTATCCCACTGTTTTTCAAAAACTTTTACAAATCCTTATTCCTTCATAATGACTTTTCAGAAATATCTTTAGTGCTACAGTTCATTATTAGGCAGCTTGCAGGCCTGCGAGCAACTCAAAATTGTTTCAGTCTTTATAGCCTTTGTGTCCATATCTCATCAGAGTCGCACATATACCATTGTTCAAAAAAGCGAACCGCCCAGCTCTTAAGCGATCCAGAAGGCCTAGGCGGCTAAACTGAACGGCAGTCCCTGGACGGCCACCTAGGGGTGGAATTTTTTTTTTTTGGTTGTATTGATTTTTTTTAAACATAAAAGGGTTTTAAGGATGGGTTTTAGGTTCATTTGAAACCTAAACCCACAAGAACCCATTTTAGAGAGAAAGAAACCTTAAGAAACCTAAATTTTGTGACTCTCATTGGATCGAAGTGTTTCTCAAAGTTACAGAAAACGGATCCAAATATCACCTAGGTAGATTTGAATTACTTTTGGAGTTTTATAATCCTATTAGAGGGTGTTTTTTATTATTTTAACACTAGAAAGTTCGACCAATCAAAGTAAGTGCAAAACTTTATTTTTTAGATTTTGTGTTTTATTATGAAATGTCCTCTTCAGGATCTAGTCGAAGTGGAGATCCGGGTTGAAAATATGGATATAACCTGAATCCAAATGGTAAAAGTGAAAAAGATACAAAAGGAGGCATAAACCGGTTTTGCAGGTCCTAAGGGGGATGTTGCCCCTCATAAAAATGTTCCTGAAGCGATCAAAGAGTAGATTAAGCAATATATGAGTTCTGTAAAACAAAAACAAAAACAAAATCCTTGTCATTTGAATAGATTTATTTCTGCTACTTCTAGGAGAAGTGATCCGAGTTGGAAGTATGAGTTAGTTGCTAACTGACAACAAATTGGATGGAAAAGAAGGCATATAAAAAACCTCAGAATTGTGGGTTTCATAAAAGAAATTTGTTCTTCCAGTGCCATGAACAGGAATTAAAGAACCATTGGCAATTGATACATGAGTTTTGTTGACCACCTTTTGAAACTGAGATAAGCAAGAAGGATTGTCTGTCATGTGGGCAGTTGCTCTTGAATCAATCACCCAAGTATAAAGATTAGAACTCAAAGAAGACAAGAAAGCAAACTGATTACCTTGATCAGAAGAGAAATCATGAGAAGATGATGCACCATTCTTACCCATTTGTTGAAGGATTTGGGTAAGCTTATCAATAGAAATATGAGTATCAGAAGAAGCACTCTGAGCGAATAGCCTTTCAGAAGACTTGTCGAGTGCAGGTCTAAGATGAGGATAGAGTATCCAACACCTATCCTTAATATGGCCAAAGGCTTTGCAATGGTCATAACAGGAAGGTGGTCGACCCTTCCCTCTGCCACGATATCCTCCTGAAGATCTCCCTTCAAAGTTGCTATAGGCGGGTTTCTTATTGTTTTCCACCTTTTTTTTAATAACAGTCATAGCAGATTTTTCACTACTCTTAGCTTCAATTTTTGCTTTAGCGTTCATGACTCTTTTCCTGGTTTCTTCACGTAATATAGTATAAAAAACTGATGAGAAGCTGGGCAGTTCATATGACATCAAAATTTGGCTCCTTACTTGCTCAAATTTGGGTTTTAGAGCAGCAAGATATTGAAAGATCTTATCCCGCTTAGCTCTCTTTTGAATAGTGGAGATATCAGTAGTGGGTGGGTAGTATATAGATAATTTATCCCACATCGGTTTCAAAATACCCAACAATTCAGTAGCCGTCTTATTCTTTGCTTGGTTTGATATATCTCTTGTTTTAATTCCAAAATCCGAGCAATATTGTTTTGTTGTCCATAAGCTTCTTTTGTGGAATCCCATAGATCCTTAGCATTCTCAGCTTGAGAAAATATTTCAGTGATTTTAGGATCCATAGAGTTTAATATCCATGACATTACAAGTAAATCGTTTGTTTCTCAATCCTCGTACTCAGGGTCATTACTACTTGAAGCTTTTTTCTTTCCATTAATATGCTTGAGTTTTGATTGACCTTGTACCAAGAGCAAGAGAGGCGACTCTGGCCCACAAAACATAGTTTAAACCATTGAAGGGGGTTGAAGATAATTTCATAGATGTATTGTGTTCAGATTCATGCACCACATTTTTTCCTTTTCCTTCTACTTTACTCTTTTCAGCCATGATATAAAAAGATAAAAGTAATGATCGAGTAGCTATTTTTGTCTCTATCTCCTCTTTGAAATAGACATTTTCCTTCTACAGCAGGAATGATTGGTTGGGATATTCAGCTTATTTATAATAGGGTTCCTGACAGTACACTTTCACAAATTTGTGAGATGCTGATGGAGCTAGCTTTGGTGTATGTATCCCCTGATCATGAAGATGAGGTAGTTTTTGAACTTGCTCCTGATAGAGTATTCTCGGTGAAATCAACTTATCTATTGTTAAATCATGATAGGATTAGGTGGGCAGAACCAAGCCTTACAATTATTTGGAAGTGGCGCATCCTGCACAATATTCAAATTTTCTTATGGACGTTGTCTAAAAATAAAGTTATCACTGTGGATAATCTTAAAAATCGGGGTAAGCTCATTGTAAATTGCTGTATTTTGTATAAAAAAGATGAGGAGATGGGTAATCGTTTGTTCTTTCACTGCAAAGTCTCATTTTCTTTATAGAGGTGGGTTGTTTAGCTAATAAGTGTTGCTTTACCGCTACCTGAACAACATGCTCGTATAATTAATCAATTATCCATCCCCCTAATTCCAAAAGTAGGTGTGGTGATATGGCAACTGTTCAAAGCATCGATATTTTGGGAGGTGTGGCTTGAGAGGAATAGGAGAGTTTTTTATTGTAAAGCCTTGGATTTAGATTGTATTAAAGATAAGATTATACGTAGTGTCTGGCTTTGACTGTCCATTATCAATGAAGGTCTCAGTATATCAAAGATTGATGTTTTGCTTAACCTACGTGAATTGATGCTTATCCAAAAGCAACATCCTACTATCTGGAGAGTATGGATACCGCCTAATAGGGATTGTGTGAAGTTAAACTTTGACGGTAGGTCATACGGGAATCTGCGGCCTGCGGGATTTGGAGGCACCATTTCGGATTTGTCGGGCATGGAGTTAGGTTGTTTCTTTGGCCCTTGTGGAAGTGCAACTGCAAATAATGCTGAAATCTTAGCGGTGCTTCCAGGGGTCAAATTGCTGAAGGAGAGTTATCCGAGTATGGGCTAGGAAGAAGAAGGGGACTCTATGAATGTTATTGAGTGGTGCTCGGGTAAAAGTAAGCATCCTTGGAGTTTGAAAAAGTATTGGTTACAGGTGATGGACTTATACATGAATCAAATGGTGGCCTTCAACCATATTTATAGGGAAGCTAATGATAGGGCAGATTTTTTGGGTAAAGAAGGGGTGCAGGCCATTAGCTTGTTTGCTTTATCTTTATCTTTGTAACTGAGGCTTTGAGTTTTGATCAATAAAAGTTACGTACGCTTGTCCAAAAAAAAAACAGACTGTCATGGAAGGTAATTTAGCTCATAAAATGTAAACATTGATGAAAAAAATGTATGAATGAGGTTTTAAACTTTTTAAGATTTTTTTTCTTCTAATAACATAAAAAAGGGAAATTTGTTATAATTACTCAATGTTAAAATATCCACTTGATAGAGCGGAATGATAGAACATGATTTATGAAGCCGACCTTGAATAGTTGGGATAATACTCCGATGATACAAAATCAAAATAAAATAATTTAAGTAGTCAAACGAATGTTTATTTTTTAGTCTCATATCACTCATTTAACTCTTCAAAAGTGACGTGAGTTATCTTCCTTATTGAGGTTTTGAATGACCATATCTTCAAATTTTCTTACTATTTTCTAAAAAAAAGGACGGGTAGA